CCTCTGTAGTTGGAACACACCCTCCGGTCCCCCCTTCTTAAACAGAGGGACCACCACCCCGGTCTGCTAATCCAGAGACACTGTCAGCGACCACCACGCTATGTTGCAGAGACGTGTCAACCAGGACAGTCCTACAACATCCAGAGTCTTAAGGTTTTCAGGACGGATCTCATCCACCCCCCGGAGCTTTGCCATCGAGGAGCTTTCTAACCACCTCGGTGACTTCAGCGCGGATGATGGACGAGAGTTCGCCTCTGAGTCCCCAGTCTCTTCTTCTTCTTCAGAAGACGTGGCATCGGGATTGAGGAGACCCTCGAAGTATTCCTTCCACTGCCCGACGACCTCCTCAGTCGAGGTCAGGAGGTCCCCACCCGCACTGTAGACAGTGTTGGTGGAGAGCTGCTGTCCCCTCTTGATGCGCTGGACGGTTTGCCAGAATTTCTTCGAGGCCGACCTATAGTCCTACTCCATGGCCTCCCCAAACTCCTCCCAGACCGCACAAGCTGCCGCACGCTTGGCCTGCCAGTACCTGTCAGCTGGATCAGGAGTCCCACAAGCCAAAAATGACAGGGAGGACTCCTTCTTCGGCTTGATGGCATCCCTTACTTCCGGTTGCCACCACTGGGTTCAGGGATAGCCGCCACGACAGGCGTCAGAGACCTTAGGACCACAGTGACGAGCTGCCGCAGCGACAATGGAAGAGGAGAGCATGGACCACTCAGCCTCCATGTCTCCAACCTCCCTCGGAATCTAGAAGAAGCTCTCCCGGAGGTGGGAGTTGAAAACTCTGCTGACAGAGGGTTCCGCCAGACGTTCCCAACAGATCCTCACGATACGCTTAGGTCTGCCAGGTCTGACCAGCATCTTTCCCTGCCAGCAGATCCAACTCACCATTAGGTGGTGATCAGTGGACAGCTCTGCCCCTCTCTTTACCCGAGTGTCCGAGACACGCGGCCNGTAGTGGTAGTAGCAGTAGTAGTAGTTATAGTGGTGGTAGTAGTAGTATTAGTAGTAGTAGTGGTAGTAGTATTAGTTGTAGTATTAGTGGTAGTAGTGGTAGTGTTAGTAGTATTGGTAGTAGTAGTGGTAAAAGAAGTAGTAGTATTCGTGGTAGTAGTCGTGGTAGTAGTGGTTGTAGTATTGGTAGCAGTTGTAGTAGTAGCTGTAGCAGTAGTAGTAGTAGTGGTAGTAGTAGTGATAGCAGTGGTGGTAGTAGTAGTAGTAGTAGTACTAGTGGTAGTAGTAGTGGTAGCAGTACTAGTAGAAGCAGAAGTGGTGGTAGGAGATGTCGTAGTAGTAGTGGTAGTAGTGGGAGTAGTAGCAGTAGTAGTAGTAGTCGTAGCAGTGGGAGTAGTAGTAGTGGTCGTAGTAGTAGTGGTAGTAGCAGTAGTAGTAGTAGTCGTAGCAGTAGTAGTAGTTGTAGTAGAAGCAGCGATAGTGATAGTAGGAGTAGTAGTCAGAGTAGGGGTCGTAGTAGTCGTAGCAGCATTAATGGTAGTAGTAGCAGTTGTATTCGTAGTGGTAGTAGTTGTAGTAGCAGCAGCAGGAGTTGTAGTCGTAGTTGTTGTAGTAGGAGTAGTGGTAGTAGTACTTGTAGTAGTGGTAGTAGGAGTAGTAGTAGTGGTGGTAGTGGTACTAGTGGTAGTAGTGGTAGTAGTAGGAGTAGTGGTAGCAGTCGTCGTAGTTGTAGTAGTGGTAAGGATTAGGATTAGGGTTAGGATTAGGATTTGGGTTAGGATTAGGATTTGGGTTAGGATTAGGATTAACTCTCACCTGTGCACTTGAGCCGCAGACTGTTCTTCTCCTGTGTGATGTTGACAGCGGTGCCGCAGTGCATCTGTCGACACCTGTCGTCCGGACTGTTCTTGTTGTTGTTCACCACCACCCACGTGCCGCCCTTCTCCTCCTGCAGCTGCCCGTTACAGCTGGTCTTGTTCCCTTTAAGCTGCAGCCTCTCGTGCTCTGTCCCAACGAGTCCACCGTCACGGCACGTTCAGTGTAACACAACGTCTAGTGTGCGATTGTGCGTCCGTACCTGAGCAGATGACGGATGCTGGGTACTGGCAGGGCTTGGAGACCGGAACCGCACACTGCCACAGGTTGTCCACCTTCCCCTCGTCTCTTGGACAGCTCAGCTTCATCTTCGCCGACCTCTGGAAGTCACGTGCAGGCATCTGCCCCAACCGAGGGATCTTCTTCAGTCCGCCGCACTGGATGTGTTCACACACGAGTTTGGCCTCTTCAGGTCCTTTAGGGGACAGGAAGCAAACATGGCAGTGATCAGTACTGTCACAGGTATAATACAGTCATCCTCTCATGTATTCACACCCTCCCACTACAGAAGGAAAACAGCTAAAATAAGTTAAAAGTGACAAAAGCACTTAAACTAATATATTTTTTTAATCCATCCATCCATCCATCTTCTTCCGCTTTTCCGGAATCGGGTCACCGAGGCAGCAGCCTTAGCAAAGCCGCCCAGACTTCCTGATCCGCACACACCTCCTCCAGCTCTTCTGGGGGGACCCCTAGGCGTTCCCAGGCCAGTCATAATCAGAGACATAGTCTCTCCAGCGTGTCCTGAGTCTTCCCTGAGGCCTCCTCCCGGTGGGACGCGCCCGGAACACCTCCCCAGGGAGCCGTCCAGGAGGCATCCGAAAAAGATGCCCGAGCCACCTCAGCTGGCTCCTTTCGACGTGGAGGAGCAGCGACTCTACTCCGAGCTCCTCCCGTGTGACTGAGCTCCTCACCCTATCTCTAAGGGANGTTATTTGTGATCCGCTTGAACATTGTACAGTCAGGAAATTACCAGAACCTTGACTGTACTCCTCAGGATTGTCCAGTGGTTCCCCACAGTCAAGGTGGTTGCAGACGACTTTGGAGTAGTCTTTCCTCCAGCCCTGCGCTTGGACTCTTTTCCACTGATTTTCATGTTGGACCTCCAGCCTCCCGGCACACCGTCCGCCGCCGTCCACCAGCGTCGCATTCAAACTCCCTGAATCGAGACAACCAGAGGTTTTAATCAACACGGGACGTATACAGAACAAATCAGGCTGTGATGATGTCACAAGAAAAAAAACAAATGGCATTGCTGTTTTTGGTCAAAATTGCTGGTAGTTAGGATAAAAGTGCAAAAGTGTACAGTGTTACTGAAAAAGGTGCACAAATTACTGGTAGTTACGGTAAAAGTGCAAAAGTAACTCGTGTTTCTGAAAAAAGTGCAACAATTGCTGGTATTTGCGATAAAGGTGTTTACAATAAAAAGGAGTATTGAAAATCTGAACTAAGTATGAAATTAGAAACGGTAATTTGTTTATTGGGTATTGACAGCCAATAGGCGCTGCTTTGACCGAGGTGTTGCCGTGGAAACAAAAAGCATGCGGTCACCTGCACATCTCACCTGAGCAGACGACGTACGCTACAGACGAACACGACATGTCGTTGCCGTGTTTGGCCTCACAGTGCCACAGCGACGACTCGTTGCCTAAACACTCCACGACGTCCATGACCCCTGATCGGCTGAGCTTCTTCGTGGAGAAACTGTTCACCTGGAAGGAAGCGTGAAGACTGAATGGACTGAAAACGCTAAAGCTAACGCTAACATATAAAACACACTGAGACAGATCAGGAGGTTAGCTTAGCTTAGCACGAGGTAAGAAAACAGCAAAGCAGAGATGGAGGGTAACTTTTCTTCTAGTCCAGCTTTAGTCACGAGTTACTT